CGACTTCTTTACGCACGGATAGGGGACTGATATCAGCTAGCCGTTCGGCTGCCCCCCCACCAAGCCTTGAGCCATGGGATGGCAGTGTCAGTGGGACGCGAGGATTAACAAGCCGGTTCACGTTGAACGGCGTGTAACCGGTAGATTAATACACTGTATTGTTCACTGCAAACTCTACGAGTGGCCACACAGCGCTCCAGCGCTTCGGCGTTTAAGCGCAGATGCTGCGAAGAACGTCTTCAACGACGCGATTCACGCGCTCAGTCTGGGCATCGGTCTGCGGACGGCCCGCTTGTGACATAGTCGACTTGGTGCCCAGCACCCTGGACAGTGTAGACCAAAACTTCCCTGTGAAGCGCGGGTCTCTATTAGAGACAATTGGCTCTGGAAGTCCATGCTGTCGAAAGACACGGTCGCCAAACAGCGTCGCTGTACCCACACGGTCGATAACAACGTTGCTGTACCCACACTGTCGATGGTGCCCGACACTACCGCAAGATGAGCCATCTTGCTCAAACGGTCCACAAAGACCAACACACCCGTGTTGCCCGCCGAGTCCTTCGGCAGGCCAAACACAAAGTCCATACTCATGGACTGCCAACACTCGGAGGGTAACGGTAAACTGGTCAGCGGCGCCGCCGCATTCGGAGAGAGTTTCACCCTTCGACATATCTTACATGTGCACACATATACGCTCATCCACTTGTACAGCTTGGGTCACCAATAGTGGCAACTTACCGAGCTGTACGTCTTCTCACGACCAACATGACCACTAAGTGGGATGTCATGGGCCTCATAGAGAATACGATATTATAAATCCTCATCATGAGGAACCACAATTCGTGGCGTATCCGTTGAATCGGTGCTATAATATAGTAACCCTTTACTCAACGAATATCGGTGTAAGTGTGCGCGCATACGCGCCGACGATTTCCTGTCCGAGTTTCCGAACTCCTTTTGCCCAAGAGCCTGTAGCAGCGCTACACATGTACATTCACCCGCGTATGATCCCATCTATTCTGCTTCCTGGCTTATACTTACCTCGATGTTATATTCTGCAAAACCTGAGAGCCACCTGGTCATTCTCTGCGAGATGTGAGTCGACTGAGCCGCAGTACGTAGTGACGCATGATCTGTGTAGATCACAAACGGCTTTGAGCCCAGCAGGTGCACGCTAAACTTGACAAGTGCATACTTTTTGCAAATTTTTTTGTCATGGACTGGGTAGTTCCTCTCTGCAGCCTTAAGCCAGCGGGATTCGTACGCGATCACCCGATCTCGCTCCTCAGCGTCAGCTTGTCGCAGTGCACACCCGATGTCAAAGTCCGAAGCGTCATAGACGACACTAAAAGGACGATCGGGGTCTGGCACCGCCAGTATTGGTGCATGAAGATGGCTGTCTTAAACCCTGTCAAAAGCCTCCCGATGTTTGCTTCACCAACACCATTCGGTTTATAATTTCGAAGGAGATTTGAAAATGGCCGTGCCATTTCCGCATGATTTGCGCTAAACGTGTGCAAGTAATTGGCGAGGCCAAGCTCACAATGGCCTTAACCTTAGCGGGACCCGCTCAAAAGCCCCGCTTCCCAATGAGCCACCCTAAAAAGGAATTTCTTCCGCATCAATAATGCACTTATCGGCATCAGCATATAGCTTATTCGTGCGCATGCACTCAAGCATCGCGCTCGAATGGACGATATGATATTCCACATCTGTCCTCCCTTGCCCCGCACGACTGTGGACGAAGATGCCGTCAAACTATGTCTGTGCAAACGCTCGATGAGGCCTGAAAACCAGCTGCGTCACAAGACGATTAAATTTTGCTGTTGCATTTGACAGCCCTCGGGACATCACCAGCCACTCCCAGAGCATCCCGCTCGGAGTACTCACCGCTGTCAGCGGAACATCACTCGCTCTCATGAGCAACCATTGAACAAGTCGAATGCGCTGTGCCAACCGTATTGTTCTGGAGAACACCCTTTAAAAGAATTGGCGTTTGCGCCGGGATGGTGGCAGCGTTAAGCTTATTATAAGCGTGAACGATACGTCACTTTCCGTTCGGCTTCCGGATACAAAAGTTGGTGTCGAATGGGGAGACGTGGTCTCACGCATCATTCCTGCGTCGTACTTCACAAGGAAAAAGGCGTCAATGACGTCACACTGCACCTTGGGCAGGGGATATTGGCGTGTTACGCAGTATTTGGTTTCCGGAACAGGAATAATCTCATGATGCACACCTCGGTCCGGAGGTGGGACCGATGGCGGGTCCTTGGAGACGACGTCTTGGAATTCCTTTACCAAAGGATAATACGGATCCGAGGGATCCTTCAGGATCGACGATCCACTTCGTGCGCTTGGCACGTTCTGAGTGTCCTCAAGGACAGCTTCATCCAAAAGCAACGACGAGTTAATCTCCTTTTTAGGTCTTATAATGACCACCTCGGCTAATTTGCCTGCCTTCAAGGCGCCGCCAAACGCTTCGAAGGACATCTCGTCCTGCCCAAGAAAATAACTCAACGTGGAAATAGCCTCGAGGGTGACGTCGCCGTCTTTCTCACCCGTCGTACCGTTGACAAGGGCATATAGCTGCGCGCTATCGACTGCGGTAGACACACCTTAAGTCGGGGTTGACGCCCTGCGTCTTGCAGAAAACATATGACATTGCCGTCTTCTCTCTAAAGAATTTTCACGTCTCATCGAGACCAGTGGGAACACGCACTCAGCGTCGTCCAGCGTACCCACTCCCTGCTTCATCGGATCCTTGATGTTATTTGCAACGTTCGACGAAGAGCTGCTATTTCCACTGTCTTCGTGCAGTGGATAACGTGCCACTACGCGTGCATCAAAAGGGCATTGCCCAAGATACTCGGACCTCTTCCGACCATGCAACTCTTGACAC